TCAGCATGCATTTATGTTCAAAGTCCTAGAGGGAATTAGACTGGAGGGAACATACCTCAACATAATTAAAGCTATATACAACAAACCCACCACAGCCAACATTCTAAATGGAGAAAAACTGGAAGCATTCCCATTAAAATTCAGGAACCAGACAAGGCTGTCCACAGTTCCACTTCTCTTTAACATAGTGCTTGAAACTCTTGCAAGAGCAGTAAGACAAGAGCAGGAAATTAAAGGAGTAATAATTGGAAAAGAAGAGATCAAATTATCCCTTTTTGCAGATGAGATGATATTATATCTAAGGGACGCCAAAAATTGCACAAAAAACCTCCTAGAAATTATTAACATGTTCAGTAAAGTGGCAGGTTACAAAATTAATCTACAAAAGTCTGTAGCCTTTCTATATACCAATAACAAGCAATCGGAGAAAGAACACATGGAAACACTCCCCTTCACAATAGCTGCAAAAAAAAAAAAATATCTCGGAATAAACCTGGCCGGTGCTCTCTTTTTAAAATCTTTTTTGAGCTGGGCATGGTGGTACACACCTTTAATCCCAGCACTTGGGAGGCAGAGGCAGGCAGATCTCTGTGAGTTCAAGGCCAGCCTGGTCTACATAGCCATCTCTCCAACCTCCCAAGAAGTGAAATTTACTGATCATAAAGCTTTGTTTTTATTCTAATGAAACAAACTTTGAAAGTAAATCATTTTAAGTCTCATAAAAAATTATTCAGGAGGTTGAATTGGCAAGGCTTGATGATTGACTATGGGATGACGGGGGAATCAAAAATCCAGGTAGTGTTTGCTGACTCTTAACTCGTTTTAAGGTGTTCTAGGTCCTGAGGTACAGTGGTGGACAGGGCCGTCCTGGAGCTAAAAAATGATGCAGTCTTTTGGGCAGTGTGATAGGGTGCTATTCACAGAAGCAGGAAAGGAGCAAGTGTGTGGTAGTGGGATAGGGTCAGTGTATTCCAGCTGGAGTTCAGCATAGTGTTGAGAGAATGGGCAAGGCTTCTTGAGGGGGTGGTCTCTAAGCCAGCAGATGGCATTTGCTCTTAACCTCCATTTTATTTCTACTGAGCCCAAGTATGTATCATAGGAAAGGTACTTTTTTATCTTTGTTACCCTGACCTTTATTTTATAGTTGAGGCAACTAACTTGATGGTCAGTATTAAGGCCTCAGGACTAGAAAGTGGGATCTAGGCCAGGTCTGTAGAACTCCAGGCTCAATCTCTTTCTCTTGTCTCCTTCTTTAAATACTTTAATGCTTCTTTTTTCTAGCATCAGCTGTGAAACTTGTCCTCTGTATAGGGAAGATGAGTGGGCTTTGTCAGATTGTAATTCATGAGCCATTAGAAGTGTTTACAGTTAATTCTCCATGATGAATGGCCCTTTCCAAAATCTATTTTGTCTCTTAGCTCATTAAAAATTATAATTGTAGCAGTATCATTAGATTATAGAGGTTTAGAAAACAGTTAACAAAAGAGCCCTCAAATCCTACTTTCCTAAAACAGCTGTTATATGGAAGATTATTTCATGGCAAGACATCAACTTAATTAAGAAGATTTGGTAGAAGGAATCTGGAAATTCTAAATCATGCATTTCAGATTTGGTGGGATAGCAGAACTTAGAGTGACTACAAAGTTAAATGTCAGCCTCGTTCTCTTGCTTTGATTTTTTTTTTTCTTCTTTCTATAGCCTAGAAGTATTTGAAGTTACCAGCAGTTTTTGCTTTCCAAATAAATTTTGCTAGTAAGGATAGAAAATTTTTCTGCATATCTGACCGATTTCTTTTTTCTTTGGAACTATTTGTTTTTTTTAACCTGTTTTTTCTCCCTGAGAGGGCGCATTTATAGATACCTCCCCCACCATGGTACATCCTTGAACACACAGAATAGTTGAAAAAGCACCCATTTCCAGACTATTGTCATCATATAGACACCTGCTTACAACCACTGGGAAGTCAGTTGCAGACATAGTTCCAGATACTTTTTGATCTCTTTTTTTTTTAAGATTTATTTTTGTTGGGCTTGGTGGCACACACCTTTAATCCCAGCACTTGGGAGGCAGAGGCAGGTAGATCTCTGTGAGATCGAGGCCAGCCTGTTCTACATATCAAGTTCTAGACCATCTGGAGGTACAGGGAGACCCTGTGTCAAAAACAAAATTACAAAAAAAGGCTTATTTTAAATTATGTGTTTGTGTATGTCTATTGGGGGGTATGTTCATGTGTGTGCAGGTGCCTGCAGAGTTCAGAAGAGGGCATCTGATTCCTGGAGCTGGAGTTAAAAGCAGTTGTGATCTGCTTAGTATGGGTGCTGGGAATCAAACTCGGGTCCTCTGCAAGAGCAGTGCATACTCTTAACCACTTTCTCTTAATCAGCCCCTGCCTTTTCATGTTTTTATGTTTAGCATATTTGTCATAAATATTTTTCTTAGTCTGTTGCATGTTTCTGACTCTGTTCCCCCACCTCTTTCTTTTCTAGATGGTGACATGCCATGCCGAGCCAACATCCTGATCACAGAGCTGTTTGACACAGAACTAATTGGCGAGGGAGCACTGCCCTCTTATGAGCATGCTCACAGGCATCTTGTGCAGGTAGTAGGCCCAGGACCTCCCTCGGGAGTGGTGTTGTCATCACAGCCAGTGGACATAGTAGTCACTGCTATACCATGCCCAACAAAACCATTCTCTCTCTCTGTACCTTGGGACTCCCTTCAGTTACTGGCAGGCTTCTGGTTCAGGTAGTAGTAGCGCTGAGGTAGAGAAAGCCTTACTTTGAATTCCCAGCTGCGAGACTCCTCTTTACTTCTGGGTTTCCAGGGCCTGGTGAGTAGTAGATGCAGAATAAAAGGATGAGTGGAATAGGAAGACCATGAGACAAGAAGCTAGAGCCACAGCCAAGTAGGAGGAATGGTCAGCAGTGCTGGTTGAAGCCAGCAGGCCAGTCACATGAGGGTGGGCAGCTGTCTGTTGGGCTTTGCACTGAGGAAGGTTCTGCCAAGGGCTGCACTGAAGGGACACTTTGAACCTGAATCTAAAATGGCTACTCATCAGGAAGACTTTGACTCCCTTCTAGGTCTTCGTGACGGTTCATCAGCATGGTGATCATTCTTAATAGTGCCAAGTAGCTAGGCGCTTAATTGAAATCATTTTAGCTCTCAAGAAGCTGATGTAGGAAAACAGTGATGAAGAGGTTAGCCTAGACTACATCATAAGACCCTGTCTTTAAAAAAAATAAAAGTCACTTCAGGCATAATGTGTTTTCTTTCCTTTCAAGGGCATAGGGCAAAAAAAACATTCACTGCTGGGCATGGTGGTACATACCTATAGTCCCAGCACTTGGGAGGCAGAGACAGGCAGATGTCTGTGAGTTCAAGGCCAGTCTCATCTACATAGTTCCAGGCTGGCTTGGGCTACAGGGAGACCCTGTTTCAAAAAGATGAAAAAAGAAAAAACATTTACTCTCCTGACAATGGGAAGGTGTTAAGAGTTACTACACCAGCCTAATAGTAAAACCTTTGATAAGTGTGAATTACTATAGATCAGGTACCTGAATTGTTATTGTTGTTTGTTTGTTTGGGTATAAATTTAGGAAAATTGTGAAGCAGTACCTCACAGAGCTACTGTCTATGCCCAGCTGGTGGAGTCCAGAAGGATGTGGTCATGGAACAAGCTGTTTCCTGTCCATGTTAAAACTAGCCTTGGAGAGCAGGTCATCGTCCCTCCCTTGGAATTGGAGAAGTGCCCTGGTGCGCCCTCTGTCTGTGACATTCAGCTGAACCAGGTGTCATCTGCTGACTTCTCTGTCCTCAGTGAAGTGCTCCCTATGTTCAGGTACCACAGACTCTTCCTGGGTGGCAGTGCTTTGAGACACTTGATGGACTTTGGGACTTTAGAAATTCTTTTTTTTTTTTTTTTTAATATTTATTATTTTTATTTTATATGTATGCATGTATTGCCTGCATGTAGGTAAGTGCACCTGTGTTGTGTGGTGACTGCAGAGAACAGAAGAAGCTGTCAGATCCCCTAGAACTAGAGTTATGGACAATTGTTAGCTGTCATGTGGGTGCTGGGATTCAAACCCGGGTCTTCTGTAAGAACAGTCAGTGTTCTTAACCTCTGAGCCATCTCTCCAGCCCCTGGAAGTTCTTTTTTTATGGAACAGAAACCTAGCTGAGTCCTTCCCAACTAAATACCATTACTGATGAGGTCATCATAGAAGCTTAACAGTAAAGTGTGTGAAGTTAAATTATGCTTCAGTTCTTGCATATTCTTCCACAGTGTGGACTTCAGCAAGCAAGTCAGTAGCTCGGCAGCCTGCCATAGTAGGCAGTTTGAACCTCTGGCATCTGGCCAAGCTCAGGTGGTTCTCTCCTGGTGGGACATTGAAATGGACCCCGAGGGGAAGATCAGGTGCACCATGGCACCCTTTTGGGCACAGTCAGACCCAAAGGAACTCCAGGTAAGTGGCAGGAGTTGAGCATATTTCATGTAAGTCAGGAAACATTTGTCTACTTTTTCTGTTTGACCCTGGATTACTGTCAGAGTAAAGGGCAAAGATGAAGTTTCCTTTGGGAAAGTACACATGCACACACAAGCATAAGAGGCTGAGAGGTAACTCTGTAATGGAGCACTTTTCTAGCATGCCCTGTACTACATGTATATCCCCAACACTTCAAAGACAAATGGTAATAAAAAATAAAAATTAGAAATTATAGCATACCTCTGGTAACATAAACCTCTCAGGGTGAGTTCATGGTAAGCACCAATAGTCTAGTTGGCAAGAGAAGTCTTAGCGAATTAGTTCTGCCATTCTCCATCCCAGCACAGCCACTCATCTCACCACCTTCTGCCCCAAGTAGTCCCAGGGACTCAGACTAACTTGGGTTGGAGGACTATAACCTCAATTTCTGTGACTCAGAAACAACCTTCTCCAGCTCAGGAAAGTGAGCAAAGGAATATGAACTATAAGATGGAAGTACAAGCTGGGCGTGGTGGTGCACACCATTAATCCCAGCACTTGGGAGGCAGAGACAGGCAGATCTCTGTGAGTTCAAGGCCAGCCTGGTCTACATAGAAAGTTCTAGGCCAGCTGGGGCTACAGGGAGACCCTGTCTTAAAAAGACAGAAAACAAACAAGGTGGAAGTACAGATTGCTGTCCAACATGTGGTAAATTGTTCATCTTTAACTGCTCTGAAATAAAAGGAAACAACGTAAATAAATTGCAATGAAATATTTTTACCTGCTAGTGAATAAAATTCAAAAACATTGTGGCACACTATTGGTGAGGCTTGGGGAAAAGCAGGAGAGGGAACTCCCAGAGCACAGGCCACTTCAGTCCATCCTGGTGGAAAGTGATAGATGTTGGGACTCTGGGTAGTTTTACTTATATGCCGAGTGACATGCATGCAAGATACTCATCATATCCTTAACTTAGTAGAAAAAGAAGAACAGGAAGGCCATCTGTAAGGATGGGTTATTATCCTTTGTCTTTTCGGTGAACGAGGTAGCTCACTAGGCACTGATGTGCATCTAACGGTATATTTGTTGTTTTCTTATAGAATGGGGGATTAGACATGTGACCTGACATGCTAGGCAAGCATACTACCCGTACATTACAGATTACAAATAGCTCCAAGCCCCCCTGCCCCTTTTTGAGATGTTCTCAAAAAAGGATGGCAATCATTCCTCAGCCTCCCAAACCTATTATAGGTATGTGCCACCACCTCCAGTTGCTAGTTCTCTTTTCACTTTTTGTTTGAGACAGGGTCTCATCTAGGCTAGGCTGGCCTCAAACTATAGCCAAGTTAGCAATCAAGAAGCAGAGGCAGACAGACCTCTGTGAGATTGGGGACAGCCTAGTCATAGCAAGTCTGGGTCACCACCTGGGGCCTCAGGAAGACCCTCTCCCCCTAAGAAAACCTGCTTCTCCTGCTTCTACCCTCCAAGTGCTGGGATTACAGGCATGTACCATTGTGCCCAGCTTCCTTTTTTCCCTTTCTGAGACAGGGTCACACTAAGTTGACCAGATTGGCCTTGAATTCACTCTAGCTTAGGCAGGCCTGGAATTTTAGATCTACCTGCCTCATTGTCTTCAGTAGCTGGAGATATAGGCCTGCACTATCTGGCCCCTGATTTACTGCATGAGTCAAAGGCTCTGACTGCTGTGGGATTGCTTTTAGCCAGGCAATAAAATATTGAGACTTTTTATTTGCATGCCTTCAGAGCACTACTGTGTATATTTCCCTAGTCTGAATTGCTGTAAATTGCTTCATAATTTTGAGTATACTAGATCTTTTAAAAAAACTCCATTTGGCCGGGCGTGGTGGCATATACCTGTAGTCCCAGCACTTGGGAGGCAGAGGCAGGCGGATCTCTGTGAGTTCAAGGCCAGCCTGATCTACATAGTGAGTTCCAGGACAGCTTGGACTACAAGGAGATCCTATCTCAAAAAGACCAAAACAAAAAAAACGAAAAAAAATCCATTTAGCCAGGTGTGGTGGCGCACACCTTTGAGCCCAGCACTCAGGAGGCAGAGGCCAGCCTGGTCTACATAGTGAGTTCCAGGCAAACTGGCACTATATGGAGACTCTGTCTAAAAAAGACAAAAAGCAAAAAACTTCCATTTAATTCAAAGAAATAAACCAAACCTTTTTGTGTCACTTTTCCCAACTTTCTTTTTAATTTTGGATATGTGTGGTTTATGTGTTGTGTTTTATGTGGTGTATGTACTTGTTAGTGTAGGTGTGTGCACATGTGGGTATGGGTGGGCTTGTGCATGTGGGTGGAGGCCAAGGATTGATGTCTGGTATCTTTCCTTGAACACTTTCCCCATTTATTTTTTAGACAGGGTCTATCATTGAACCAGCTAGACTGGCTCGCCAATGAGGTTCAAGAATTTACTTGCTTTGCCCCTCACCATCCCCCAGATTACAGACACCCAGCTTTTTACATAGCTGCTAGGGATTCAAATTCAGGTCCTTAAGCTTGTGCAGCTGGTCTCTTTACCAACTGAACCATCTCCCTAGCACCTTTTTCCAACTTCTTGTTTTGAAGAATAAGTGAAAACAGACATTGATGCTTCCTTTACTGCAGTTTACCTGTTAATAATTACGGCATTTGCTGTGCCTCATCCTCCTCATTCTCATTGCTGCCTCATTGCTCATTCTCTGTCTCCTTCCTTTTATCTCTTTGCACATTCACGGTTTTCTGTTAAATCATTTCATAGGAAGTTGCAGAGATCTGACATTTTACTCTTTAATTACCTCCATGTATAGCTTAGAATAAAACAGTTCCAACAGTACAAAATTCCATCATCATACCCAAGAATATTAATATACCACTCCGTATGCCATCCAACAGCACAAAATAAAATTTCCTTAATTGTCCCAAATGTCTTTAGTAGCTTTTGTTTTTCCAACCTAGGTTCCAGTTAGGTTTTATGTAATATATTCGACCTTTCTGTGTTTTGAAGTACTTAGAAGACAAAAAGAAATCTTGACTATGTTAAAGTCTTAGAATACATGTCAGGGAACTCTTGGAGGAGGCTTCTCTCCAGGCCACTAGCCTTGGCTGTGAACCAGAGAACTTTACCTTTAAATGAAATATGAGCATTGGTTCTGCTTTGTGAGTAGAGACTGGAGCCTGTTCTTGTCCCTTCTTCTGAGCTACCCCTGAAGACCACTGTGCTTGATGACATTGTTTTCTTAAAGTCAGCAGGGTTCCAGAAAGCTTTTGGACCACTGGCTTTCTAATTAGAATTTTTTTTCTTTATCTCTAGGCCCATAGTAACCATTTGTAGTCAAATGTCATGTCTCCTTGCAGCTGATACTTGGTTAGGCTTTGGGCCATTGGATTGGAAGCATTGATATTGTCACAGCTTGGTAACACTGGCTCTCTGCTCCTCATTTCAGTGGCGGGACCACTGGATGCAGTGTGTATACTTCCTGCCACAGGAGGAGACTGTTGTACGAGGCTCGGCCTGCTGCCTGGTAGCTCACCACGATGACTACTGTGTGTGGTACAGCCTTCAGAGTACCAGGTATGCTTGTGCCTTGTGGACATGGAGGACTGGGCCTTAGAGAGTGTTCACTGATATAAACTCCTTGTGTATAGACTGTGTAGGTATTTGAGAGGGCAGATTTTTTTTTTTTTTTTTTTTTTGGTCTTTTTGAGACAGGGTTTCCCTGTAGCCCCAGCCAGCCTGGCACTTGCTATGTAGACCAGGCTGTCCTCGAGCTCACAGAGATCTGCCTGCCTTTGCCACCCAAGTGCTGGGACTAAAGGTGCGCACCTCCATGCCCAGCTTGAGTGGGCAGATTTGTTTCTGAACCAAATAAAATGAGGGCAAAGGCTGGTGAGATGGGCAAAGGGGCTTGCCGCCAAACCTGACAGCTTGAGTTCAGTCCCTAGAATCCACATGGTAGAAGGAGAACCAACACCACAAAGCTATCCTCTGACCCCCCAGATGTGTACTACAGCATGTGTGTGAACACAAATAAATAAATGAAAAATGTAATTAAAACAAAAGCAAGTTTATGGTGGGATACATCAGTGTGTATTTGTGTTTACAAAGGAAATGCTGCCATGGGGTTGCTGAGTTCTATTCAAAACAAGTATGTGGGGGCTGGAGAGATGGCTCAGTGTGTACAAGCACTGACTACTCTTGCAAAGGACCAGAGTTTGGTTCCCAGTATCCACATGGCAGACTCCCATCTGTAACTCCAATGCCAAGTGATTTGATGGTGCACTTACATAAATGCAGGCAAAACACTCATACGCATAAATAAATAAAATATTTTTTAAAACTTTTTAAAAATTTTTAAATCATTTTTATGTGTATGCGTGTATTGCCTGCATGTAGGTAAGTGCACCCATGTCATGCAATGCCGGCAGAGGACAGAAGAGGCTGTCGGATCCCTGGGACTGGAGTTACAGACAGTTGTTAGCTGCCATGTGGGTGCTGGAATTTGAACCCAGGTCTTCTGCAAGAACAGCCAGTGTTCTTAACCTCTGAGCCATCTCCCCAGCCCCAATAAATAAATGAAATATTTTAAAGAGGGAAAAAAATAAATGTGGAAAGTGGGGCATCATAGTGCTCTGTAATGTCCCATGAGCTGGTATCCAGACAGATCCTCTAGAGGCCTATGGATGTATGTCTCAGGTGCAGTTCCAGTGTTTGGTACCCTGTACTATAACTTCATATGTTGGGTTTCTGTCATCACTGGTGTTTGCCTTTTCATCTCCTGCCCCAGCCCTGATGAGAATGGAAGAGTCCACCAAATGCGACCTGTATGTGACTGCCAGGCTCACCTGCTCTGGAACCGGCCTCGGTTTGGAGAGATCAATGATCAGGACAGAACTGATCAGTATGCCCAAGCCTTGAGGACTGTAAGTGTGCTTCTCTTTGGGTCTGGGTCCCAGAGCTCTGCTTATGATTTGCTCCTGCAGTTTGTTTTCTGTCATCCCTCGTCGATGGAATGTCTTCAGGTGGCTCCATCTGGAGAAGACACCAGAGAACCTGAGCTCTTGTTCTAGACTTTCCTGGGGCTTGTTCTCTGTTCTGTAAGAGCTCCCCTGAGTGTTCTCTGATCTCATGAGCACTCCCCTGGGAACCTTCCCCAAGCCCAAACCCTCATGATCACCTGCAAAGATCCCCTTGGAGTTGTGTATGGAGATATGTGCGCGTGTGTGCAAATGCATGTATTTTGCGGGGAAAGAAGAATCCAAGCTATCCCAAGTTTATTTTCAAGGGATCTCTGATCCATAAAGATACCCCTACCTTTGGAAAGTCACTTGAAAAGCACATGGGCCAGACAGGGAAGAAATCTGTCGCCATAGACTCGGAAGTGGCTTCCTGCATGTGCCGAGGAGGCAGGCTTGCCAATGTGGGGGCCAAGATGGGAAGAGAGCTTATGTACTCAGAAATCTATAAGTGGAGTTGGGAGCAGGGAAGCATTTCTGTCAGTCAGCAGGAAGCTTCTCAACTAAGGAAACCTGTGCTGATCCTGCCCTTTTCCTGCAGGTGATGACACCAGGCAGCATCTGCCTTTGTGTCAGTGATGGAAGTCTGCTCTCAGTGCTGGCCCATCATCTTGGGGCTGAGCAGGTAAGGCACATGCCTTTCTGTTGGCTCTATAAAAGTTGTTTTTTTAAAATTTTTGTTTTTATTTTCTTTTTTGGTTTTGTTGTTTTTTGCTTTTTTAAGGTTGCTCTTGAGTTAGGGCATGGTATGATCCAGGCATGTGATTCAGTGATCAAAGCCCTTTGTAAATGCAACTGTTATGGGTGGAGTGGGCTTGGTTTGGGGGCTGCAGCCCAGGGTTCTGAATTGGCCACCCTGCCCAAGTCAATCAGTACCCAGTGTGGGTGTTGTCCCAGGGAGGTTGTCAGCCCAGGCAGTTGTTTAGGAGAGGTCCTCTTGACACTCTTTCATCTTGAGTTTCTTCCCCCGTTAAATGCATCTCTTGTAGCTCATAGTATGGTGTTCTCTGCAGGTGTTTACAATTGAGAGTTCAGCAGCTTCCCATAAATTGATGAAAAGGGTAAGTGACAGTTGCTACTGAGTTGAAGAGGGTACTGTTGGGCCTGCCTCCCTGAGTCTGAGATGGGTAGCATTTGAGCCCAGGGAGTGGCAAAGCAGCCCTGCTTCATGGCAGTGGCTTCCATGTGGAGAGCTGGCCTGGAAGCCCCTCAAGCTGGCATCCAGTTAGAAGCAAATTGTTGCACTCTGCTTTGGTTTTTGTATGTGTAGAAGTTTAGCCTTTTCTCATTTCTTGTAAAATTAAGAAACTAACATCTCAGGACTGGAGAGATGGCTCAGCAGTTAAGAGCATTAGCTGTTCTTACAGAAGACCAGGGTTTTTGAATCCTGGTACCCATGTGGTGGCTAAGAACTGTCCATAACTCCAGTTCCAGGGGATCTGATGCCCTCTTCTGTTCTCTGCAGTCACTGCACAACACAGGTGCACTTACATACATGCAGGCAATACACTCATACACACAAAATAATAAATAGACAAATAAAATAAATAGATAGATAAATAAAAGAAGCTAACATCTGTTTAGCTGTAGACCTGAGAGGTTTGTTCCTAAGAATAACCTACTCCATTGAAACTGTAAGACTGATGCTAGCTAGGTCCTGCCTGTCTTTGCTCATGACCTTATTGCTCTATATGAGGCCCATCAGAAGACGTTTCCATCAGTAGATAAAGTGGTGCTCTGAAGTAACTTGGCCACAAAACTCAGCAAAGAAGGCAACTTTGAGAGGTGTTGGTTTTTGTTTTCTTTGCGATGCTGCACATTGAACCCAGGCCTCAACCACTAGGCAAACACCTACCATGGTGCTATACCCTCAACGTGATTGTTTTATTTTGTTTTTCCTGGTTTAAAACAATGCGTGAGTATAAACACAATTATATTTTTTCTTTCTTAGATCTTCAACGCTAACCACTTGGAAGATAAAATCAATATCATCAAGAAACGTCCGGAGTTGCTAACATCTGCAGATCTAGAGGGTAAGAAGGTGAGGAGCAGAGCTTTGTAGTTGCACTGGGGCTGTGAGTAGGGACAGAATAGCAGTGAGGTAGCCTAAACTCCACCCTGTCTTCTTGGCTTCATGGTATGTGATGTTGCCCATGTAACTTGCCAGCTGAGACCTCAGCACTGTGAGGGGACAGCAGGTGTTTGTAGAGGCCAATGAGCATTGAATTGGGCTTCCTGTGCCTCTTAGGTGAGAGCAGAAGAGTATTGAAGTTGGTTTGCCTCCCCCCCTTGTCCCTTCATGGAAGTCCTCTTTGAAGGCTCTTCCTACTCAGATCCTTTTCCCTTGGTTATTCTCCCAGCCTCCTAGAACTGTTCCACCAAGAACCTTGGGGTTACTATGCACCATTTCCCTGCAGACTCCAGCTGCTCTGGCCCCAGGGCCACCTCTCCCTCCATTCTTAGGAGACTGCTTGTCTCAGATGTCTCTGCTCTTACTTTTGGCTGTTCTGAGTCTCCTTTGTGCTTGCCTCCTTTTCTCAATCTTCCCTCCCTTTTCTTGTCTCACTCCCTTTGTCCTTCCTACTGCATCTCATTGAGTAACGATGCCTCTTCCCACATGGGAACCGGTGCTCATGAAAGTGGTCTTCACTGTAGATAGGACTCTTTGCCTCTTTACCTTTTCAGATTCAAATATTTTATTTGTTTATTTATTTATTATTTATATTTATTTTTTAGTCTTATTGAGATAAAGTCTCTCTGTAGTCTCAACTGCCTTGAACTTGCTATGTAGACCAGGCTGGCCATGATCTCATAGATCTTACAGAGATACTCCTGCCTCTGCCCCCCAATTGCTAGGATTAAAGGTGTGTGCCACCATACCCAGCCTCAAATATCTTAAAAAAATTTTTTTTTTTTAAATTTTATGTGTATGACAGTATATTGCCTGCATGTATGTAAGTACACCTGTGTCATGCAATGAATGCCCTTGGATGTCAGAAGAGAGTATCGGATTCCTCTGAAACTGGAATTATGGATGATTTTTAGCCACCATGTGGGTGCTAGGAATCAAATCCAGGACTTCTGCAAGAACAGTCAGTGCTCTTAACGACTGAACCATTTCTCCAGCCCCTTGTTTTGTTTTTTGAGACAGGGTCCCCCTGTAGTCATAGCTAGCCTGGAACTCACTGAGTGGCCCAGGCTGACCTTTATCTCAAGATCTTGCCTCTACCTTGAGTAATTAAAGACATCTGCCACCAAGCCTGGCTCAGATTCGACTACCTTGAGTCCAGTTGCCAGTTAACTTTTCTTTGAAAATCTCACAAGCTGGACATATATGAAGGAGAATTTGTCATCTTTTCTTCTAGTCTTTTTTGGAAACAAATTTATTGAGATATAATTGACATACTATACAATGCATAATTCAGTGGTTTTCAGTAAATATATTGTATATAGTGATCTCTCAGTCCAGTTTTATAGCATCTCCACCCAAGGCCCCTGGAGCCTGTTTGTAGTCCCTCTTTAAAACAAATTTTAGCTGGGCGTGGTGATGCACGCCTTTAGTCCCAGCACTTGGGAGGCAGAGGCAGGCAGATCTCTGTGAGTTCAAGGCCAGCCTGTGAGTTCAAGGCCAGTATATATAGTGAGTTCCAGGATAGCTGGGGCTACCGGGAGACCCTATCTCAAAAAGACAAAAAAAAAAAAAAAATTTTTTTTACGTGTATGAGTGTATTGCCTGCATGTGTGTAAAGTATACCTGTATTGTGCAATCCCCTCAGGTCAGAAGAGGTTGGTAGCTGGAACTGGAATTATGGATAGTTGTTAGCTACCATGTGGGTGCTAGGATTCAAACCTGGGTCCTCTTCAAGAGCAGCCAGTGCTCTTAACTACTGAGCCATCTCTCCAGCCTCTATAGTCTTTTTAATGCAAAATAATACTCTATTGTGCAGATATGCCACACTTTATCTACTTGTTGATGGGTTTTTAGATTATTTCTAGGTTTGGGCTATTTTGTATAATTCTTCTAGGAACACTGATGTGTCTTTCTGAAGCTAATAATTTTGGATATGTAGGTCTGGCATTCTGGGTTATGTGGTAATTATTTTAACTTCTTTAACAACCTGCTAGTTGCCAGACATGGTAGTTTATCCCAGCATTTGGGAGGCAGAAGCAGGCAGATCTCAGCCTGAGGCCAGCTTGGTCTCTAGCCAGGGTTACATGGTGGTCTCCCTGTAGCTCCAGCTGCCTGGAATTCACTATGTAGACTAGGCTGGCCTCGAACTCACAGAGGATCCACCTGCCTCTGCCTCCCAAGTGCTGGGATTAAAGGCGTGCGCCACCACACCTGGCTAGAGACCCTGTCTTTAAAAACAAAAGCTGCTAGCTGTTGTCCACAGTGGCTGATTTGTGTATGAGGGTTCATTCCGTGGCATACCCACATTTCTATTCTCTTTTTCAGTGTAGCTGTTTTAGTGGGAACAAAGTGACAGATCATTGTAGTTCTAATTTGTATTTTCATGATAGCTAATGATATTGAACATCTTTTCAAGTACTTACTAGCTATTCGTAAGTCTTATTTGAATATCTGTTCAAGTCTCTTGCCATTTTTCTCTCATTGCGTTTTTGGTTGTGAGCCTGAGCCTTTAATGGCTGCGTCAGCTCGCCAGTCCTCTCATTGCCTTTTTAAAACAGCAGCATGAGATGTAATTCCTATGGCATACAATTTACTCGTTTGAAGTGTGGAGTTCAGTGATTTTAGTGTATTCATTAGGTAATGCATCCATCACCAGATCAATTTTATTACCCTACTCTTTTTCTTTTAGTAGTCAAATCCATTTGCTCCCAGTCTTCCAAGCCCTAGACAGCTACTAGCCTACTTTCTGTCTTTGTGGGTTTGCTTTTCTGAACAAAGCATAGAAATGAATCGTGCCGTGTGTGGTCCTTTGTGAATTTCTTCAAGGATCATCCATGTTGGAACATGAGTCAGTGCTTCATCTCTTTACTGTTGAATAATATTCCATCATATGAATATAGCACATTTTATTTATCTGTTTACCTGCTGATAGAGGTTTTTGCTGATTGTACTTTTTGGCTGTTGTGAATACTGCTACTTTGAACATTTAGGTACTGGTCACTTTTTTTCCTCTTCTAGATGAGGGCTTAGAACATAAAGTTGTAAGCCATTTCTAAGGTGTGCTAGTCAGACTCGGGATCCCTTTTGAGTAGAAGTGATGAGAAAAGGCATTTGTACTGTGTTCCTGATACTGGAAGCAGGAGTGAAGGTCAGGGAAGTCTCAGGGCCAGCCCTGTTCTGGCTTCTGTTGTATCTACTGCATCTACTCTGGGGCCCTGGAGAGTCTCCTCAGACTCTGCCCAACTTCCTCCCCCATCAGCCTGACTGTTGTAGCACTCCCCTAGAGCACCTCCTGTCCCCACCTGCAGAACTCTCCCTACATGCTTCATGGACCTCAGAAGGATCTTTTAAAATATAGTCCTATTTTTGAACCCCTCATTAAAGCTTTTGTGACCCCCTCTTGCCTCCAGGGCAAGTTGAGCCTCCTTTTCTTGTGGTTAGTCGCTTTGGGCTGTCTGGATCCTGCCTATATCTGGCTTCCTGCTCACTGCCATTGCATCCTCTCCTGATGAGTGTCTGGAAGGCCTTGCTCTCACTCCCATGCTTGCGTGACCTCTGTCCATCTGTCTGGTTTCTCTGACTCCTCATACATCTATTTGTTTATTTCACAAATGCTTACTGAACATGTTCTCTGCCAGGCACTGTGCTGCTAGTGTCCCCATTTGCTAGAGCCAAGTGAAGGTGACAATGTGTTCAGTTGGCACTGATAAACCAGGGTGATATGCAGAATGCCACTCTGGAAGGCCTTTCCAGAGCCCCTGCATGCACCTGTTCCTGTTGCTGTCACGTGAGGACAGCTCCCACCCTTGTCTGTGTCCCTTTTCACTTTGTGACTCCTGGGGCATGCTTATTTGTCGAATGAACAAATGAATGAATGAATGAATGAATGAATAGCTTGTTTTTTGCATGTTCCTGTGAAGCTACTGATCTGCCCCTCACTTGGTAACTGAGCACTCCTGACACCTGGGTTCTGCTTCCTGTTCTGGTTTCCAGGTCTCTCTCCTCGTGGGTGAGCCCTTCTTCACCACCAGCCTGCTGCCATGGCATAACTTGTACTTCTGGTATGTCCGTACCACTCTGGATCAGCACCTGGGACCTGGTGCCGTGGTGATGCCCCAGGCTGCCTCACTGCATGCTGTGATCGTGGAGTTCAGGGTAGGCCACCCAGAGGGCTTTGCAAAACACCAAAGCAGCAGGAGGGTGGGGAAGCTGTGTTCTCCAGAGACCTTGATTGCAGATGGAATGACTTGGGTCTTACTGACTGGGGCCTTTCTTTTCTGTATCAGCGCACTGCAGGACTGAATAGAGGAAGCATGTGCTTTTAAAAAGCAGTAATTTGACATATGAAATGGAAATGACTGTGTGTTGTCATTTTACAATTGCAGCTTATCAGAATAATTAAAAAATATAAATTAAGCGTTTCAGAAGACACGCTGTGCAGCTCACTGTGCTCTCGTAAAGAGCGGAGGCTGCAGTTCTTAAAGTGTTCTGAGATTGGGACAGCTTCTTTATGTAAGAAGAAATTGAAAAGCTTCATTTTAATTTTCTCATCAAAGCAGAACCACAGTCACCAAGTCATTTTGGGAAAGGCATTTTTTTATTAAAAGGATTTTGAAGTGCTTTTAACCTGAAATGGAGAGTGAATCACATTTGCTATTTCTTTTATAAGAATTGCTTCATCTCTTGGTAGCCTAGTGGCTCCATCACTTTAATTTCTGGGCATTTCTTCTGTGTGTTATTTACCTGATGAGATTTCTATGTGAATTGTGGCTCTCGTGGCTAAAGAGTGACTGCAGAGAAGGATGCTTATTCCAGGCATAGGTCTGAAGAGGCAGAGGACAGAAGATGAACTGACCGTAGTTTGTTTCTGGGCCTTTTCCTCCCCATCGCCCTCATGCTTGCTCACCAAGCCCTTGAGAGCTGCTTGCAGATTTCCTCCCAAAAGAATGGTGCTAGGGATGGTCTGGATATGAAGTCCATAAACCTTTCCCAGCTAGTGCTGGCTGATTGTCTCCTAAGGAGAGAGGACTTGGTATCATGTTGATTTACAAATTCCTATAGCAGTCTGTCATATAAACCACCTTGGCTCTTCCATGTCTTTGTCACTTTTTCCTTAGGGGTCTGTGTCTCAGCATACAGGAACAGCAAGATATGCCTGTGGTTCTTGTTGGTCTCCTGACCCTTCTTAGGCATGTCGCCGTATTTCCTTGGAATAGACGGGAGGGTATAGACAGGGCTGTTCCTTCTTCGCAGGATCTGTGGAGGATCCGGAGCCCCTGTGGTGACTGTGAAGGCTTTGATGTGCACATCATGGATGACATGATTAAGGTAACTAGGACTAGCCATGAAGTCTGTTGGTTCAGGACTATAATACAAAGTACTTGGAGGCTGAGACAGGAGGATTGAAACTTCAAATTCAGCAGATGTGACTTAGTAAAACTTAGGCTCAAAATTAAAAACAGATGATTAAACAAAACAAACAACAGCAACAACAGAATAGCCACTAGGTGGAGAGGGTAGGAGGTTGAGACTATAGCTCAGTGGTAGAGTACTTGCCTAGAGCATGCATGAAGTCCTAGATTCAATTCCCAGTATCACTAAAAAATAAAAGGTAGGCAGGGAAACCACTCTGAACACTGTTCCATCCACCCTTTTCATATGGCCGTAAGCCTCTGACAGGGACCTGGGATGGGCAGCACCGACAGTATGTAGACTCTTTCTGTTGGGACAGTGAGGAGAATGCTGCCACTTTGGGTCACCATGAGAATTCACCTGAGAACCATTGCATGGTACCAGCCCTGTATTTTTGCACAAGCGCGTGCACATGTGCGCGCGCGCTTGCACACACACACACACACACACACACGCATGTTGTTTTCGTGTTTGTTGTTGTTTGTTTCTTTGTGACAGGGTCTCCCTGTAGCCCCAGGCTTTGTACACCAGGCTGGCCTTTCTCTCACAGAGATATGCCTGCCTCTGCCTCCTGAGTGCTGAGATTAAAGGCGCATTCCACCATGCCCAGCCATCATTTACATTTTTATGCACTTACTAATCACAGAAAGGGGGGAGGGCATGATAGAGTAGAACTAGAAAAGCAGTTTTGCATCTTCTTTCACAACTCATAGTCATAGAATGTCATTGTACCACTAGAATTACTCTGCAGCAGGAACAGTTTGTTTTCTGTTGGGTCAGCCTTTCTACTGGGCAAGTTGGTCACTTTCTACAGCAGCCATTTTCATTTTGGGGAGTGTGTTCCAGAGAAGAATGCTAGAGTTTGGGGGAGGGGGATATGTAAGGAAGTCCCTACAAGGATATTTTTGTAACAGATGTTGGCATTTCCCTGAATGTCTAACCAGAGTGGTTGACCACCAGAGTTTGTGTCCCCCAGAACCCAGGACAGTCGTAATAGCAACACTCAAGTGTACCTTTGTGAGGACTGGGGTGAAGAGTTGGGATGAATTCACATAAGAAGGATAGGGCAGGAACATGGACCCGTTTTTGTGAATGAAATTTTATATACACAGAGAAAAGGGAATGGAACTCATCATGTTACGTGTCTAGTTGGATAGTGAAGACCTTTTTCCTTTTTGCTTATCTTTTAGCTTAATCTTTTCTCTGTGAATGTAGATTTCTATGTAAACATTTAAAAAATATTTTATGTGTGTATTGCCTACATGTGTGTAAGTGCACTCGTGTTGTGCAATGCCTGCAGAGGTCAGAAGAGGGTGTTAGCTTTCTCCGGAACTGGAGTTATTAGACAGTTATTAGCTACCATGTGGTACTGGGAGTCGAACCCAGGTCCTCTGCAAGAACGACCAGTGCTCTTAACCACTGAGCCATCTTTCCAGCCCCTGTGTAAACGTTTTTAAAGTAAACCTCATGAATGTTTTCCACGCATATCTCACCTTCTACATAGCCAACTACTGACCATGTTCCTAGACATCTTCATGCTGAGGTCCCACTCTTGGGATCCTCTGTCACATCTGGCCACTCATCAGGCTCTGTTTTGGCCTCCTCTCTCCCTGCTATCCTCTGAGGAGTCATGTTTCTGGGTCTTCCTTAGGTTCCTGCTCCTGACCCTCATAACCTAGATTGCCATTTTGGTTCCTGGCCAATGTGCATGTCTCTTGAGTGTAGTCAAGGCAATTAGATGGTTGGAATTGGAGAAATGGATCAGCAGTTAAGAGTGTGTATTGTCTTACAGAGGACCTGAGTTTAGTTTCCAGCTCACAATCTGTAGCTCCAGCTCCAGGGGGATCTAATGCATCTGTCCTCCATGGATACCTGCATAAACAAGTGCATACTCATATACAGACACACATAAATGTAGTTAAAAATAATTTTTAGGCCGGGCATGGTGGTGCATGCCTTTAATCCCAGCACTTGGGAGGCAGTGGTAGGCAGATCTCTGTGAGTTCAAGGCCAGCCTGGTAGACATCTCTGCTGGGCATCATCAGGCCACTTGACTTTCATGCTTCCCTAGTGCCCCTGCCTAGTTCTACTCCTCCAGCTCCATTCATCTCATCCTAGACCTGGCGTCCTCTGCCAGTTCTGCTTTCCCTTGCAGTTGTTCATTGCATTCCCAAGGACCCTCCAATCCAGGTTTCTGCCCCTACTACTCCAACCCTGTCAGAGACTCCTTGGTCTATGCCCTTCTTCCTCTCCCACCTCAGCCTTTAAATTAAAAAATAAAATTTATGTATGAGTGTTTTGCCTGTGTATGTGTATGTGTACTGTGTGTGTGCAGTGCCCACAAAGGCCAGAAGAGGGTCTCTTGGAACTACAGATGGTGGCGTACACCTTTGTGGGTGCTGGGAACTTAACCTGGCTCTTCTGCAAGAGCATTACACACTCTTAATCTCTGAGCCATCCCCTCCAGTGCTTAGGAAACATGAATCTTAAATCAAGCCATGTTTCCTTGAAGGAAAGGCCTATACCTAGTCCTTCAGAGCCACCCTGTGCTGCCCTTGCCTCTACTTGCTTGGCCCTTGTCCGTGTCCCACGCCCAGCTCTTTGACCATTGGCTTCTGGAGTCACCTCAAAGCAGCTTCTCTGCCCTGCTTTTGCCTACCATAGCCTGTTTGCACCTGGGTGCTAGTGCTTTCCCCAGATGCTGGTCTTCCTTGTTTACATATCCATCTCCCCCTGTACCTCCTGTCAGAGTGATATGGTATACACAGTATCAGTGAGAAGTGATTGAGTGCCTGCTGTTTCCACCAAAGTAGTTCAGTCTTCAGAATAGGTTAGGAGTAGGCACTGTCGTCCCTGTTTAAAAAGGAAGGTAAGGCTTGGAGAAGCAAAGTGGTCCTCTGATAAGTGAGCAGGAAAGGGAGAAGCTGGCTGTTATGACCAGGTGCCCAGTGTCATTATGTGACAACATGCTGTTCCATATGACTGCAGCTTCCCAGGGGGACTAGCTCATGGAAGTGAAGGTGTCCTTGGCTGGCTGCAGTTCATCGCTACAGACCCCAAATTCTCTTCTCCTCTAGCGGGCTCTAGATTTCCAAGAGAGCAAGGAGGCAGAGCCCCATCCACTGTGGGAGTACCCCTGCCGCAGCCTCTCTGAGCCCCAACAGATCCTGACCTTTGATTTTCAGCAGCCGGTCCCTCAGCAGCCCATGTGTGCTGAGGGCTCTATGAAGCTTAGGAGGTGAGTGGAGGCTGCAGGGTGTGGGGTGAAGACAGTGGAGGAGTTACTGCCCTCATGGTGACAGCATAACTGACTAGAGCCTTACTCTTGGCCCAGGATGTCTTCCCCCATCCATTCCATTTTTATATTATAGAGGGTTCCTCAGCCTCTAGGCGTGTGTCAGTGAGGGAAAACTGGAGGCCCCTTGTTGGATCACAGCTGCAGAGAAACATGAGTTTGGTTACTATGGTTACCCACTGGCCCATTTTTCTGAACTCTCTTGGGAGTTACAGAAGGTTAGATTGGTATGGGCTGCTTGCTACAAAGCATGGGAGACCCTACCCAACTCCCTTCATAGCAGTGCGCCACCTCCAGCCTAGTGGAGCCATAAGCTCAGAGCTTTTTGCACCAGGGACAAGCTGCCCAAGCAGAGCAGATGCTGCTGCCCTGGGGATCTTCAGTGTCAAGGCTGCACTCTGCGCCCGTGGGCCTCAGCATGTGGGGAGCAGCCCTGCTCCGTGCTTAGACTCTGAGGAGTGATGGAGTTCAGAGCCACGGCTCCTCTGGCTCAGCCTTTCTGGTCTAGCCTTTAGTTAGGTGGCTGTGAAGTGCTAACAGCTCCTGACTGGGTAGGATGGAAGTGGTAGAGGTTTCAGGAAAGCAGAGGGAGGTCCCAGTTATGTCCACCTATCTGTGTGACTGTCTGACTCTGTACTCCCTCTCAGACCTGGAAGGAGCCATGGGGCTGTCTTATGGATGGAATACCACCTGACACCAGACAGCACGGTCAGCACCGGCCTCCTGAACCCTGCAGAAGACAAGGTAATACTGCAGGCACTAGGCTCAGAGTGGCAGCCAGCTCTAGAGCCCTTGTACCCTCTTGTACTCTGGGTATTCCTGTTCTGTACCTTCAGGCCAGATAATTCTCTAGTGGCCCCAGTTTATAGCCTACTGTAAGCTGCATGGGCTTTCAGGAAAGCTGGATTGGAAGATTGCCTGGGTGCCAGGGCCCTTACCATCCTTTACTGCTCACCTTGCAGGGGGATTGCTGCTGGAACCCCCACTGCAAGCAGGCTGTGTACTTCCTAAGCACCACATTGGATCCCAGAGTGCCCCTGGATGCCCCTCAGTCAGTCAGCTATGCTGTGGAGTTTCACCCCCATACTGGAGACGTCACCATGGAGTTCAGGCTTGCAGACACCCTGGACTGATCCTCCCTTGTTGAAAAATAAAGTGGCTGGCAGGCTGAGGGCTCTGAATGGCTTATGGCTCACTGGGGAAAGAAGGCCAAGGCATTCATTTCTGATATGTACCTGCTTGGCAGCCACACAGAGGAGGCCTATTCCATCTTTGCATCTTTACAGTGTTGGCTCCCAACAGCAGGTGTGGCAGGCAGCATGGGTGGTGACTGATTTTGAGCTGTGGAGGGACCAGGGAGAACCGTTGTGTTTCTGAGAGTTCAGAAAGCTCTGGGGGCAGTAATGGCTCTTTTCCTACTTGGAGGAGAACTGAAGCACAAACCCCTAGCTGGGGTGGGAATAGGACTGCCCATTTAGCTAGATAGGTAGCTGGTAGAGCCTACCTGGTCTGTCTGCTTTCCGGGAACTTCCAGGTCCCTTCTCACCCAGAATAACCTCCTGGGGAATTCCCTAGGGCTTGATGACCCTGATGGGACTAAGCTGGCCCTTTTCACTGCTAAGTAGCATTACTAAGCCACACTATTTAAACATTTGGGCATCTGGCCTTATTGCACACCAGCAGGACACCAGGGATGCCAGGTCTGCTCAGAAGCCCAGGGAAGAGGCCATCTCCAGGTAGTTCCCTGGGGAACCAGCAGAGTATCCTTTTTATATATGTCCCCTCGTGTGTCAAAAGGTCCCTGCTATGGATTGCCCCATTCCTGCTACAGCAAGAGCAGCAGATTCCCCAGCCACAGCCTTGTTGTATCCCCGTGCTCGTCCTCCCCACTCCCTGTCCACACTCATTTGCCACTGGCCTCAAGTTCTCAAGGAATTTGGGAGGTATCCAGTAGGAGAACTCAGCCCAGCTTTCTGGCAGTTCAGGGCAGACATGGGCTGTGCCCCCATAATTATCCCCCAGCCCCTAGGCTGCCTATCACTCAGCGCTGGAATCAGCAGCTTCCGGAGTTTGTCACTCAAAATAAGTACAGAATGCCAGCCTTGAGCCTCACAGTTTTATTTCCTCCTCATTCTCCCATCCTTCCTTTCAGCACCATAAAGGAAAAGTCCACCTCTCTTTTCAACATTTTTTTTTTTATCAGATGTGAAGATTGTTTTTCTTCTAGGGAAGAATCATCTGGATATATTTTTGATGTTTTACCAAAACCTTAGGTGTCTTACCATATAAAAACCCCTTATGTCCCATGAGGATACAATACAGAAAAAAAAAATACAGAAATTAAAAAAGTGTTTCTTTTTCTTTTTTTAAAACAGTATTTCTAAATTTCAGCAAGTTAATACAATAGTTAAAAAGCATCAAGGTTAATATTCATACTTAAAACTCAAGGTTGTTTTGGACAGATGAAGATGAATGTTCTTTCCTAAGCTAACACAGCTAGCTACCCAGGGCTTACCTTGAAGGGGCCCCAGGCAGGCAGAGTCTTGGTTTGGGATCTGGACGATCCCTATGACTGCCCCCTCCCAGGCCCTAGATGCCACAGAATCTGAAATCCTGGCAGTGTTATCTTTCTTTTTTTTTTTTTTTGGCTTTTTGAGACAGGGTCTCCCTGTAGCCCCAGCTGTCCTGGAACTCACTATGTAGACCAGGCTGGCCTTGAACTCACAGAGATCCACCTGCCTCTGCCTCCCGAGTGCTGGGATTAAAGGCGTGCGCCACCACGCCCGGCTTCTTTGTTTCTTTTTACAAAATTGAAATAGACCTGGCAATATACAAGCCCTGAGTCCACAGGCAAACCATGATGAAATGTGTGGCGAATGATCATGGCCTCAGTGCCAAGGGAGGTGTAGGGTTGCTGGGAGGCAGGCTGTCCCTTTGGACTCTAGAACCTGACTGTGTAGAGGCGACTTTGTGATAACAAGATGACTGAGGCACAGGGCGGTATGATTTGCCTAAGGCCGCCCTGGGAGTTGGGAAGGAGAGAAGCATGTGGCTCTGACTCCAAATGTGTTACCCTAACCCTCATGACAGAAGCACTGGAATTGGGTTTAGGGACCCTGGCCTTGGCCTCAGCTACTCTCCATGTGCACAGCAGCATAGGTCTAGGGGTTGGATCTGTCCAGTGGAGCCCTGCATGTATGAGTAGAATCCTGGCTGCTCCCACAAGTAGAGACCTTCCACACAGGCCTCCTCAGATCCTTGGGAGGCCAGGCCCCTGTAGAAGTGGAGCAGAGAACCCAGCAAGGCTGCCCTAACTCTGGACAGCGGAGCACAGGGCAGAGCTCCCTAGGACAGGAGGTTCAGGCATACCAGTGTCACCAGTGATACATGACCTAATGCCAAGCTGCCTGGGTTCTGAAGGATCATTCCTCTAGCACAGGGCCTGGCATCTAGGTAGATGTGTGCCCTGCCTCTTGGTCCCTCTTGCTGCTCTCAGTGGGTGACAAGGCACAGCTTCAGTGCACTAGCACTAAAGAAGTCCTGACATCAGGATCCCGGTGCATACTCCATCCTCACCAGACACAGTTGGTTTTGAGCCGGGCTAGATGCAAGGTGCTTTGAGACCAGTGGGGTTGGAAAACAGTCCAAGTTAGATCTCGGCACCTTGAGACAGACAAGTCTTCTGTGGCCAGGGTTCAGCCCTGCTTTCTGAAGGCAGGTGAGCAGAAGCAGTGCTGTTGAGCTCCTGAGCTCAAGTGTATAATAAACCTCTGCCTAACGCCTGGGCCAGACGGAAAATGGTGGGCTTGTAGCCAGCCCTACTGTGCTGTGTCTGAGGCTGGCCCTGGTCACACAGTGGTAGGAGTGGCTTCTGTGTGTGTGGATGCCATTTGGAATCACCCCTGCTCCTGACAGGCAGTGGCTGTTGGCCTGACCCCCGAAGCCTGCACACTGGTGAGGAACAAGCAACTCTCTCTACCTTGGTTTCCTGCCACCTTGTCCAGGGTCCCTTCCTAGACGTGGCATTGGCTGGGGTAGCTATTGAGAAGGTTGGGCCTGGGAGGCCAGAGCCACAGCCCCACTTGGGGGGTAGGCAAGTGGTTCCTGAGCTCAGCCAGCACATGGATGAAGTCCCAAGAAAGGATTGGACCCAAGGGGTCTGTAGAAGAAGACATGTTGGCTTGGATAGAAGAGAAGCTACAAACCTGTCGTTTTCAAAATCGGGACTCCCCCCACCCCTTTGTGTTGTGAGTCCCTTTCATGTAAAAAAGTGATACCCTCTGCAAATTTTGTTATGGCTCCAAAGCTGGGATCAGTCTCCCACAGGAGCTGCTGGGGTGGCCAGAGCCAGCTGGACCCTGCTGTTGGCTGGGGATAAGCAGAGTTCTACCCAGTGACTTGCAGACCCTTTAAAGTGAAGGGTGATTTTGTGTTTATCTTTTTCTGTTTTCTTTTTAAAATGTAATCGCCCTTGAATGCAAGACCCTGGGAAGAGCCCTGGGCTGGCAGGTAACGATAGCCCTCACGTCCCCAGTGCCTTCCAGGCTGGAGGGAGAGAGCTGGCGGCTGTGCCCAGGAAGTGCTTCTTTGGCTGGTTCTGATTGTGTTTGGAGTTTGGCCTTGGGTGAGGCCCGAGCAAGGGGTCTCGTGCTACAGTGTGGCACGTGGCATGCGGGCAGCGTGCATGCGAGGGTGCAGGCATGCGAGACAACATTGGAGCAGACAAAAGTAATGAACCCTGGACGAAGCTTGAGAAGAGATGCAAAGAGTACATAAACTCGGTTTTCATACTAACCCTTGGGTTATAAACTATGTTGTGCTGTGTAGATCTGTAGAAAATCACAACTGGAAAGAATGGCACTGGTTAGGCAGCCAGGAGCTCCCAGGCCAGCCTCAGTCCTCCTCTCAGAGATGGCCCAGAGGCACAGAGCAGCCCAGCTTCCAGGCTCCCTGGGGACTGACTGGGGCTCCTTGCTGTCCCCTGCCCTCCTCCCCCCAGCACTAGGTGCTTGATGGAGGAGACAGAGCCCAGGGATGGGCTGCAGGTCGAAGCTGGCAGAAGCCCCACTGCTTGGGATGCCGGTGGCTTGGTAAGTCTATGCCTCCTCCTCCCCTGTAGACACCATCAGCCTCATGGCCACAGGGAGGTGGTCGGTCAGGCCGGATAGCTGGGTGATAAAACTGAATTCTTCCACCTCCTAGGTTGAGAGGGGTAAGAAACATTCTGATTAGACTGAGAAAGAGAGAGAGTTGAGATCCTACAAAGGAGGGTTCTAGGGTCAGGGAACAACAGCCAGGGGAGGGCAGGGCTTCCCAGATGTGAGGCCAGCAGGCTGGGGTTATACAGAGGGTCCTCAGGCTTTGGAAATGATGGCTCTCATTTTAAAGTAGCATGAACTAGGGGTTGAGCTCCAAGTGCAGGGCTTGACCCCAACCCAAACTCACAGCCTTCCAGTCGGGGCACAACCCCTCCTCAGCATGCAGCATGTAGTCGATGCGCCGGCCGTTGCCCTTCAGCAGGTCCTTCCGCCCCTTCTGCCCGGCCCCCGGGCTCTTGCTGGTGGGGAAGGCCAGATACTCCCTGCGGCCTTCCTCACTCTCCAGGACCCTGTCAGGCAGATAGGAAGCAAGCTGAGCTCATGCCAGCTCTGGCACATGGAGCCATAGTCTCCACAAAATAAGAGGAAGCAGGTGGGATCAAACCTCTGGGTGTAAAGTCTGCCTTCCTTGTGATCCACGACAGGCCTAAGCTGGACAGAAACCCAGTGAGAGCTTATGAATTCCTGGGGGGTGGGGTGTGCTCCACTGTCTTCTCACAGACTGTGTCCACCTCAGGCTAGTGAGGTCTCAATTCTCTTCCTATACTCAGATAATGGTTGTGGCACTCTAGCTGTGGCCAGGTTGGGGACACACCTCCCAACCCCTTCTTCTGCTTTGAGCCAATAGGAGCCTGTGTGACCCACATGGACCCTCTTTCCTGGAAGCCCTGACACTATTTCAGATTGGCAGGGGCAGAGGGAACCAGGAGAGGAACGCATTGGAGGTGTCCACTGCTTTATGGGCTGCTCCTAAGCAGTAATGTGACCAGCTTATGTCACTAAACCTCTGGTTCCATATCCTCTGTGATGAGTAGTTTCTGTGGCTTCCAGACTCTTTGGGGAGATGGGCTGTTGTCTCATTTCTCAGAGGGAGGAAACTTGGGGTGCACAGGGGCTTGTCACAGTTCCTACCAGCCTTTCCCCCTAGAGCCCAAGCACCCCAGGAGCTTAGGAACCCTATGGGATACCCTGAACCACATTGCAGAGGGCAGGTTCAGGCCAGGCACTGGGTTGGGAGACACTCCTCAGGCTACCAGGTGGTTTATACTGGATAGATTCAGGCTCCTGGAGAGGACCAGGGCAGCAAGCATGTCTTAGCATAAGGTTTTTATCAGCCTTAAGATAAATACACTAATGACATTCAGAACATTGTTACAGCTCAGAGATATAATCCATTACTGTCCTTTGCCTTTGATAATTAATTCCAGGATCGATGATCTGAGAGTTACTGATAGTCATTTTTTAATCATCATCTTATGAAAAAGTAATTTTCTCAGCCTAGGATGATGTTTCAAATTTAGTCTATAATCTAATTAATTGGCTCAAATTAGCTGCAAGGAGCTGTGGGCTGCGAATTATAAATGGATTCTGCTGTTGACCTTTCCACTGTGTCCTATGGCAGCCTCACTGGGCTCAAGAATGAAGGTGGGCCCAGGTGGACTGTCTGAGAAAGATCAGATTGCATTCCCTCAGCTCGTGTTTTTAATTTACTAATTAAGCAAATAAAAACAGGTATAGGCTGTGGGCTTCTTGCCTTCCACAGACCCCTTACCCAGCAGCTCTGCTATAAAACTTGGCCTTTGGCCTGACCCTGGAAAATTCTGGCTCCTTTTCCTGTAGGAACTAGGGCCCAAACTCAACTAGGACTGGGGCAGGAAGACCCCTTTTTAGTGTGAGTCTAGACTCTGGATACTGGTTTAGGAGATGTCCATATCCCATGAGCCTCTGAGATTTCTCAGCAAGGCCTGCCCTAGAGCATGAGAGCTATGACAGCCTCCATCCAGCTGCCTTCTCTTCTGAAGAGAAGGTTCCTGCTACACAAAAGCCCTCACTGGCTCTTGGGAGCCCCAGTCCAGTCTCCATTTCTCTACCACCTGAATAAGGAAGAACTCAGTGCCTCATGCAGACCTGGGAGCTGGTTGGGAGGCAGTCCCTGCCAGCCTGCAGCAGTGTAGGTACTTACTTTTGCAGATTGTCAGGGGTGCACACATCTTCATCATAGAGGCCATTGATGTCCAGCAGAGTACCTGGGGACAAGGAAGAGAGTAGTCACTACATGTATGACTCAGCCAGGCTCAAGGAGGCAGCCAACATGGTGGGGTGGGGGTGGGGGAATCTAGGACTTTGGGGTGGGGCCTAGGCAGCTAACTGGTGCACATCCCCCTTCAGCGAGGATTAGATTCTAGAGGTCCCTTCTTGGGAAGCCTGTGGGGAGACCAAGCCCCTTCCTGACTGGGGACTGGCTCACCAATGGCCCACGGCTTCTCCTCCCCAGGCCCCAGGCGGCAGGGGTCCTTGTAGCGAGTAAACAGGGAGTGCTGCTGCTCCAGCTTGTCATCTGTGTGGGAGAGAAGAATGTCACGAAGCTGTCACCCAGCCCGAGGGGCCTGCTGCCCCTGATTCCTGACAATTCCATATGCTACCAGGTTCCTGTCTCTTAGGTAACCATGCTGGGTGTATGGCCCCATTCTGTGCACCCCATGATTGGTTCTGTGGTTCATCTACATCCTTGAAACTGTATTCCAGCATACACTCTGGGCTTTAGTTTCTCTCTGTCCTAAGACCGCTGTCCTCAAGGCCTTCCCAGATTCCGTGGCAGACTGTTGGTGGGGACTGGCCAGTGTGGCCCCATCAGAACCCCTGTTCTTCACAGATTTAGATGCCTGGCCATTGGAGAGGAGAGGCTATCACAAGGCTGAGGAGCCAGGTGTCCTGCCTAAGGTTCCTATTTGTCCTGTGGACTCACTGGGCCAGTAGAGCCTTTCTTTGACCCCTGGGAGGAAGGCCACTGTGTTGGGGCTTCCCAATGGGATCTCCCTCCGGAAAGCCTCTTTGTGTGCCAAGAGCACTCAGCATTTGGAGTTGGTATCAGCCATATGACTATAGCAGGAATAGGGGCACCCTTGTTGGGGCAGGAGCTGATGTGTTAGGGGATTACAGCCTTACTGTCCCACACAGCTGCAGAAGATCATTCTCTCTGTAGTGGTGACTGTAGTGGTGTTCTACCCTGTGGACCCTGGAGTTGCCACTGTCAAGAGATGCTTCCCTGTCCATGGAACAGGTTGAACAGTTTCTTACCTGCTGCCACCAGGTGAGGGCACCATACTGAACTCTTGTGAGATCTTTAGGTTTCTTAAGGGTGAGACAGGAGCTCATAGGCTCCAAGTCCCACCCCATCTATAGTCTCCTGTGGGGGACGTGGCTCCTGTAGGAGTGACAGAGCCAGTAAGGCTTCCAGACCAGTGGAGGCTCAAAGTCACCCCTCTCCAGGAGGTGTTTGTAAGATCGATTATTTAAATCAGTTGTTGAAAACGTTACAGATTGACTTTTGATCTTTTAGCCTAATGGGTTTGTTTGTTTTTTGAGATGTAGCCCTGGCTGACCTAGAACTCACTATGTAGACCAGGCTTTTCTCAAATTTGTAGCAATCTATCTTTGCTTCCCCAGTGCTGAGATTACATGCAAGGGCTACCACACCTAGCATAGCCTAATAGTTTAAGCCAGTAGTTTTTATTTTCTTTAATCTTTTAAAAATATTTTTATTTATCATCTTTATTCAGTGTGTGAGTGTATTGCCTACATGCATGTGAGTGCACCTGTGTTCTGCAGTGCTGCAGAGGTCAGAAGAGGGCATCGGATTCCCCTGGAACTGGAGCTAAGGACGGTTCATAGTTGCCATGTGGGTGCTGGGAATTGAACCCGGGTCCTCTGCAAGAGCAGTCAGTGCTCTTAACCACTGAGCCATCTCTCCGGCCCCTAAGCCAGTAGTTTTTTTTTGTATTTAAAAGCTTTATTTATAATTGTGTGTTAGTATGTATAATGTGTGTGTGAGAGTGTGTGCTTATGTGCCATGGCATGTGTAGAGGTCAGAGGACAAGTTTTGGGAATCTGCTTTCTCCTTCTGGGGATTGAATTCAGATCTTCGACTTCTTTTACCCTCTGGGCCATCTTACTGGCCCAGTATTGTTAGCAGAGTCTGTCTTAGTCTGAGGGTGAAGCCCAGGCTCCCTTGCTTAGGGTTCATCTGTTTGTCTCTAGCAAGGGGCTTCTGTGCTTTTGAGGTAGAGTGTGGGCTGTTCCAACACAGGATTTCTGGGGGACAGAGACATCACAGTCTTGCTAAATTTCCCAAACATACTCATGAGGAACAGGAAGTTCTTCAGACTGCCTCTCCCTAGTCTTTGTAATTGTGCCTGCAGCCCATGCTCTGCCCATAGCTGCAGACTTGAGAGGGCTTAGAGCGTGGCCTCACCAGAGGAGCAGTTGTCAAAGTTCAGATCTCCGCAGATGACATCAAATGCCACCAACTCCTCGGGGTTGGCTGCGCTGGACGAGGAGGTAGATTTTCGGAAATCAGCCAGCCAGTCCTGAAGCAGGTCCAGCTGCTCACACCGGATGGCACTGTCCTCTGCAGGGAGGACAGGGACCGGACCATGAGGTTTGACCTAGATCCCAGTCAGGTCCCAGGTATCGTTTGGTCCCACCCCGGAAGACCCCAGACTGTGGCCTACCTGGTGGGGCATGCAGGTGTGTGCAGGCGATGTAGCCAACAATTCTTTGGTCCTGAGGTGTGCTTCCCACCTGCACCTGGGGGAAGATGAAGTGTCAGTGCTGTCACCTGCGAGTCATTGCTGCTCCAAGTACAAAAGGGACCCTGACAACCACCAGTGCCCCCTGGTCAAGCCCTCACCACCCTACTTTATGCCAAGCTCCTGGCTAGATTCTGGGGCCCAGGTAAGGACAAGGCATTCCTTGCTTCTAGAAGTGTCTGGCTGGTTCTGGAGGCAGATGCATTGAAAAAAAAAAAAACAAAAAAAACAGAAGCCTGTAGGTTTGCACAGCTGGCAGCAATCTGTGCAAGGTTCTATGGGGGAAAATATACAATCACAGGCAAGTTCCTCCCCAGTCCCTGGCCTCTCCAGGTGGTTGGAGCATCCACCTGCAGGTCTCTCAGGGGTTTTGTTTTTGTCTTTTTGAGACGGGGTCTTGGCACATAACCCTGGCTGGATTGGAACATGTTGCATAAATCAAGACGGTCTTGGACTTTGCAAGGATTCTGATTCTCAAGTGCTGGAATCATAGGTGTGTGCCACTGTGCCCAGACTGACCTTCAAACTTTTTTTTTTAAGATTTACTTTTTTTGCTTGTTTTTGTTTTTTTTTATATTTTATTATTTTTACTTTCTGTGTGTAAGTGTATTGCCTGCATGTGTGTAAGTGTACCTGTATCATGCAATGCCCTCGAGAGTTCAGAAGACGGCGTTGGATCCCCTGGAACTGGAGTTACAGACAGTTGTTAGCTGCCATGTGGGTGTTATGAATCAAACCCAGGTCCTCTGCAAGAGCAGCCAGTGCTCTTAACTGCTGAGCCATCTCTCCAGCCCCTGTTTTTTGTCTCTTTGAGATAGGATCTCCCTGTATCCCCAGCTGGCCTGAAACTCACTCTATAGGCTAGCCTCAAACTCACAGTTCTCTGCCTCCCAAGTGCCTGGGATTAAAGGCAGGCACCACCATGTGCCTAGCCTTTATTTGATTTTAATTATTTATTTATGTGTGTCTGTCTCTATATGAGTGTATGTGCACATGTGCAGGTACCCACAGAGGCCAGAAGAGGGCATCAGATCCCTTGGAGCTGGAGTTCAGGCATTTTCCAGCTGCTTAACATGGGTGCCGGGATCTGAACTCAGGTCCTCATTGATAGGACAGCAAGTACTCTTAACCACTGAGCCATCTTTTCAGCCCTTTGACCTTCAGTCTTTTGTACACTTTCCTTTAGTGGCTTCTTGCTGTCTTCCTTGGCCACACCCTCAACCTGACCTTACCCCAGTGCCCTCCTAGCTAAAATCAAAGCCAACACCCACTGGGAGGGGCTGGCCCTGGAGGTAGGGATGGCCACAGATCCCCTTTCCTTCACACCCCCTGTAGACTCTTCCCAGGCCCCCTGACGATGATCCAGCTGCTGGAGACCACTTGGAAAGAGTGCTTCATTTGGATGTTCTCCAGGGCACCTGCCCTCAGAGACCTCTCTCAGCAGTACATCTTCCTCCATGAGCACCAGCTGTCCTCCCCAGACTTAGTTAATCTATTCCAACTGGATTTCCTGTGATGATGAGACCTCAGACCCAGGCACTCCCCAGAGGTGGACCTCAGAAATCAAGCCTCTTGTTCCAGCCTTTAGCTGAGGACACAGCAGCCACCTCTCAGGTCATCTGCTCCAGAGCCCTGGTCAGTGTTCTTGTTAATGCTGAAATTAATCAGATCTTCCTCTCCCCTGTCTGGCTTCTTTGGCAATGTCCCCTGGCTTTTCACAGCTCCTCACCCAATCTTCCCTTTCTCAGAGCCTTGGGACAAATGTTTGGCCATTTGAAAACGGGCTCTACAGCCTGGATTTGGAGCTGTTTCTAAACTTACATGTTCACTTTTTGGCCATATGCTAGACCCAGAGTACAGTCCAATATACCAAAAGCATTTTTAAGAACATGGTGCTCAAAGGGGCACATGATGGCTCTGTCACCCTGGTGTTCCTCAGGTGACAAGTTTCTCCAACTGTAATAATCTTCAGCCATGGACACTTCAACTTAGCACCTCCTCACATGTGTGCCATTTTATGTCAGCACAGAGGCTGAAAGTGCTCAGATGGGCAAGGTGGGTCCAGATTAGACCTGTTGACCTCCACATGCTACTCTTTGCTGCTTTCTGAACTGCTGGCCTTTGCCAGGATTTTCATCAACCACCCATTTGTTAGTCTTAACATGCCAGCCTCTTCCTCAACACTGTGTCACCTGCTCTGTGCTGAGTTCTGGACAGGATAAAGACATGTTAAGAAGGGTATCCCAGTTAGCCCTGCTGCTGTGGAGAACCCTCCAAGGGGGAGGACCCCACAGCCATGCTGCATCTTGTGCACCCTGCTTCTCTCTTAACCCGTGTGTGATCTCGCCAGCATCTGCTTTATTTGCTAGGATGTATTGATTCCCAGCTTGTGTCCTCAGGAGCTTCAGAGCCTTGTGTGTTTCTCTTGCAAAAACAAATAATCACACTGAGAGGTTGTGCTTTTTAGTCCTGGTGGGCCAAGACTGTTAATAAAAAAAGTGCTTAGCTGTGTTGTGCTGAGGCCAAAGAGATTCCAGTTTCCTCCTTCATGGAGAATTCCATTTCCTCAAAGGATCCATGGAATAAAGTGGGAGAGCAGGACCCAATGAGGGTGAAGGTGGAGGAAAGGGCAGTTGGCAGAACCTTTCCAGTATCCCCAGCTCCTCAGCAGCTGGGCCTGACCCTCTGAAGCTACACTGATTTCCCTCTTTTGTGGACAGTCACATGCTAGTCTAACAGAAGTATGCTGGGAGCTGCTATGTACCCTTGCACAGCTCTGTTCTTGAGGGCTATGTCTGGTTGGACAAGCAGGTCATAAAACATCTGAGCTCAGGGTCAAGTAACCCACTAAGGCAGAAGGTAGAATTGGCTTGTATTTGGCAAGACCGAGTGGAGCAGAGTGTGGAATGTGAAGGACCCTCAGGGTGGCCTAATGGGGGTAGCATGGGTTTTGGAGGAGGGGACAAACAGAGGCTAGGCTTTCTGGGAGGCAGCAGAGGTGGCAGTAAGAGGAGTCAGACCTGGTAAGGAGAAGAAGACTCAGTTGGAAGAGGTGGGATAGCACCCCCCCCCCGCCACACACACACATACTGGGCAAATGCAGAGGAAAGGATCTTGGGTCAAGATGATGAGGTTGAAGGTAGGGTAGAGCCACAGGTATTTGAAAGTAAAATGAGGAGCCTGGGATGGACAAGATGGGCACAAGACTCAGCCAAGGTGGTTGGTCCCTCCTGGCTTCAGGATGGGGGAACCTGAGGACACGCAGATGCTGAGCTCACTGCAAGACTGAACAGGGTATGTCCAGGAAGCCAGATGTAGGGTTGGGGCTCTGGGGAGAGATCCAAATTGGGACAAAGCTGAGGGTCATCAGCAAAGACAGAAATGGAAACTGGGGGGTTACACTTCCTAGGGGACAGAGTTGACTGTGGGGGATCCTGAAAAATGAAGAGAGCTGGCTGGTTACATGGCCTTGTCCCAACTCTCAACTGTGGGAAACATGGCAGGTTGGTGCTGCCAGACCTGCCAAGATGTTGAGAGACATTGCAAACCAGGTTTCATGTAAAACAGTTTCATGCTTAAAATATTGGTTAATTTAAAAAAATTAGAATGGCATGGACCAACTTAAACATATTTGCAGACCAGTTTGAAATGTAGGAGGTAGAGGGAGACAAGAGCATTTAGGACAGAGTCACAGAGGAGAGGCTGTCCCAAGGGAACAGCTGTTAACCTTGGAATTGTGGTCAGGGTACCAGACAGAGAAGTGACGTAGGGGACACATGCTTTGATGTGTATAGCAGTGGATTGGGGGTGGGGTCTCCAGCCTTGGGACCATCTGTACCAGGCCAGGGGTGAAAGAGCAAGTCTTCCACTCTCAGCCTGACAACATGTCACCTTCCTCCCCAGAAAGTCACTCTGGCTACTGAGACAAAAATATATTCACAGAACAGAACACCAACGAACCATATGCTGGAATAGGAAGGCTGGAACTGTTTGTCTGAGGAGCTGATTCAACTGCTCCATCTCTGACTGTGAATGAAAAGTCAGGGATGGAACCCCAACTCAAACACACAGGAGACATTGTGCTCCCTGGGGTGGGGAGCTGAGGCTAAAGACTGCCTGCCCTGGCTCCAGCTGGCTCACAATGTGCCGTCATTCCCAGCAGGCACTGGCTCATATGACAGCATTTTTTTTTTTTTTTTTTCTTTTTGAGACAGGGTCTCCCTGTAGCCCCAGCTGTCCTGGAACTCACTGTATAGACCAGGCTGGCCTTGAACTCACAGAGATCTGCCTGTCTCTGCCTCCCAAGTGCTGGGATCAAAGGCATGTGCAACCACGCCCGGCACATGACAGCAGTTTTTGGCACAGTCCGGGCTCGGTGGTTTCAAGACTAGAACTGAGAAGTGAGGGAACCTGCCCTGTACCACTGAGTCAGGTCCTCCCTGCTGAGCAGCCCCTTTGTCACATCTCACTTTAAAGGGGGAGAGCCCCCACAGCAGCTGCTGCCTCTGGGGACAGAGAGCCCTGTCTGCATCAGCTGGCCTAATGATGCTACAGAAAACTCTGGAATCACTAGCTGTGGCTTTTAAATAGAGAACAAAAAGTCGGCCCTGAGTATCTTAGGCTCAGTGGAAGATAATGTGTAATGACCAAATTACCATGGTCTAAAAACTCCTCCAGTTGCATCCAAATTAGCAGAAATAATTATGATTCACTTCAATTAGTGACTGTGGAAGTGAAGCCATGGGCTGGTGGGCAGAGAGCCTGGCCTGGCAGCTGCTGACATCAAGAAGGGGGGCTTTCCTGGCCATTGAAGCTAAAGATCTCAGTGGCTGGGTGTGGTCTTAAGATCACAAGGGCCTGGGGCCCTGAGAGTGCCACCTGCTAACCTACACTGTTCTGTGTTGCTCTCCTCACCATATGTGAATGGAGAGGGGGTTTGCCTCCTTTTCCACCCCTTATCACAGCCATTATCACCACACATACTGCAAGAGACTCTGAGGCCCATGTGGACCTCCACATACTGGGTTATTCCCAGCTCACCCTACTTTACAGATGAGAAAATGTGACTCAGATCTGAGGAACTGACCTAGATCACCCCTGAGCATGGGGCTTTGGCTCTTGTTCTTAAGTCCCTGTGTTTCCTTGAACTGGGATCCCTTTTATTCAGTTTCATGAAAGGCTTGGTCTGTCTCCCAATTCAGTCTGTCAAGGGAGGATTCGCAGGGACTGTGGCCCACCTCCCGATGTGACTTGGGTGCCAGATGATGTGTGGCCCTTGGATGGGCTGAGGACTCCTACCTTGAGAAACAGAGCTCCCTTAGAGGCCAGGGCATCGAAGCTGCACCCATTGGGGTAACAGTGATAGGCCACGTCCATGACAGGGTAGCGGCTGGCAAAGAAGAGGCCACTGTTGAGACACTTGAAATTGCAGCAGCCATGGCAGCCGTAGACCCCGACGTCATACAGGATGTATTCGAAGTAGCCATGCAGCTGCTCTTTCAATTTGGCTGCGGCCCGCTTGTCAAACACCTCCTGCAGGCACAGGAAGTCCAAATTGGCAGGGAAGAAGGCGGAGACCTCGTGGTCAAAGGCTTCATCCGGGTGTCGCCTCCTGCGGGCTGCTGCCTTCTTCACCACGGAGGTCTTGTATAGGAGCTTGCTGTTGACGCCAGGCTCTCCACCGCCCGTACCATCCGGCCCTGCCCGTGCCTTCACCAGAGACTCCCTGGAGGCGGAGGGGCTGCCCAGGCTCCCGGAATCCCCATCCCGCTGATTGTGGTTGGGTGTCTGGCCCTTTGGGGTCCCACCAGCCCCGTTCCTGGCTTGGCTCCCAGTGGCAGGGTCATCGGCTTCGGGTGGCCGGCCTCCCTCGTCACCACTGATCCTTACAATGCAGGCGTCCTCCAGGTTGCCATCAGCAGGGTCCCCAGAGGCCGGGCCATTGGCAGCCTCCTCACCGGGGTGACGCCCGCCATCCCCTTTGTATTCCACAGAGGCTGTCCTCTTAATGCTCCCGGGGACAGCCCTGGCTCCGCCATCACTGCCCTGTGGTGACACCAGGCTGCTGAAGCTGGCTGCGCTGATGGAGGTGTTGGTGGGAGAATCGATGTAGATTTTGATCTGAGGCCGGGCGGCCCCATTGCGGATTCTCTGCCCAATCTCTTTGGCCCGTGCTTGGGTATTGAAAACGTTGTTGAGCCTGGCGAGCGAGTCCGGGAGGAGGCAGAGGTTGGCGGTAGCAAAGCAGAAGCTTTTGCTGGCCCCTGAGCCCTTCCATTCACTGAGCAGGGCTGCCCCGCCCGCTGAGCTCTTGTCCTCCAGCCGGGAGTAGATGTAGGGCCTGCGGGCAGACTGCAGTGGGGACCAGAAGATGAACCCAAGAAAGGCAAAGGGCAGTGCAGCCACGAGCAAGGCCAGGTAGATGGGCGTGAAGAGGACAGTGCAGAACAGCTGTAGGCAGCAAGGGTCATCTGCCCGCTGGCGCTTCTCAAAGGTGGTGGGTATGAAGGAGGCCACCAGTCGGTCCACCAGCCAGTAACATGGGAAGATGAGGGCCCAGGACACAGCGTGCAGGGCGGAAAGACAGCTATTAGGAAAGGGGGTCGTGTACAAAACCATCGCAGCTCATTGGGCGCCGCAGCCGGCCCTACTACATGGTGTCCGTGGCAGCCGGCACTTTCCTGGGCAGGGGCGGGCAAGCGGGGTGGGGGGACGGGTTACCTCCTGGTGAGATGTGACTCTGGATGGTTAGTAGTGAGTGTCCACCAGACAGTCATGGTTCATCTCAGGGGGCCATGCTGGCACCCCAAGGCCTGTTGAGAACCTGTAGAAACAAAAAGCAAGGGAGGCTTTTATTGCCCTTAAGGGAGTCGGCTGTCCTGAGCAGCAGACACTGATTCACATGGGGTGTTTGGGAGCCCAACACGTTCCATTTGCTTGGGTGTCTGTTTTCTTGGAGTAAGCAGCTTAATATGACTGTCCCTTACTGGTTTTTTGACCCTGTAACTTAATTGCTTGAAAAATGGCTGAGTTTTCAGAAGGTCACAGCTTTGTAGTACCAAGGGGTGCATGCTGGGCTGACACTGGCTAGAATCAGCCGGAAGCGCTTTAGGAGCCAGAGGTGTGTTTACAATGGGTGGGCAGTGGCTCTTGGTCAGAGGAGCTGCAAACATGTTGACCTGTTATCTAGTGCCAACTAGGTCAGGAAAGAGAAAAGGGGCAATGTGACTGACTGGGCACTACGGCAGGGCAACCCCACCCACATGCAGCCTTATCTAGTATGATCCTCCTTGCTCAATCCCTGCTGTGTCCAGGCAGAACTCCAGCTAAGAACCCAGGCACAGATTATGCCTTACTAGCTTCCAGATGAGCGTCTATCCTTTATAGGGGCCCTGACAGACCTTGGGACTTTTGGAGCCACTTCCTGGATCTGGGTGCGTCTGGGTCAAAGCTTTAATGCTCTCTTCCACATCCTTTAAGAAGCAGCTCCAGGCAGGACCAGCAGCCACCTGAATAACATTACCTTGGGTTCCCGCCCCAGGCTACACTGGGCCACAATGGTTTTCCAGAGCAGGCTGGCCACACCCAACAGAGGCTGGCAGGTGCATTGATTGTGCTGACTTCCCAGTCAATAAAGACAGGAGTCTTTGTGTTTATACAGCCTCCAGGACCCACACTGCTCATTCTGAGGGGGAAATTCTGGATGTTTTGGTTACCAGATCAGCTGGGGTGTTTGTTTCCAGCTCAGTCTCACTTCTGCCCCTAGCACCTCAGTGGGTCTGGACTCTGGCTGCCATCATTCATCCTGGTCCCATACCCTCTCCATGCTCCTGAGCCCTTGGTCACTAAAGCAAGGGACCTGGCTATATCATCTTCCTCGGTCCCCATGTCTCATCTGCCTCTCTGCCCCAGCTGGAACCCCTGCATGGGCCAAGGACAGTGTTACAATTCACCAACTTTATCAACCTCTACCCTCCATACATACAGTGGCTGGCGAGACATTGCCTCAGCTGGCCTGCCATCTCTACAGCCCCATCCCTCTTCAATGCTTGCCTCCCACTCACTGAGACAGTAGTGCCAGGTCCTCACCTTGAGGACCTCCCATCACTCCATGTCTTCCTCACACTCCCTAGAGAGGATTCTTAACTTCTCCCTTGCCCACGTGGCTCAAGTACCTCCACTGGGGGCTCCTGTCCCCCATGACAGAGGCCTGGTCTCTGCAGTTCTGTATCATACATGCTTTGGGACATATCTACTGCCTCAGCAGACTAGGAGCTTCAGGAAGAAAGGGGATAAATAAGGACCTCCGAGAGCCCCAGGATGGAAGTGGCAGATGCTCCAGAGACAGATGAATGAGCAGAGGTCGCTCATGATGCCAGTGCCAGGAGGCAGCCATTTCCCATGACCCAGTGGTGTGAATTTTCCACATAGCCCAACAGCAGCCCAAGGATCTTTCAGCCACCATCCCCAGGATTGATGAGGGAGGACCAAAGAGGAGCTTAAGTTGGAGGCTGTCTGGTTCTGACAACCAAAAGGCATAGGGATTTTACTTTCTTCAAGGGAAATCACTCTGAAGCCAGCACTGGAAGGTCACAATTTGGAGCAATAGGTGTGTCTTTGCAAACCATAGCCAAGTGGGGGCAATTCAGTGAAATCCATTGCCTGCACCCTTGGGTTGAGGGCATCCTGCATCCTCCCACACCTGCCACTTGGGAGACTCCAGGGTACACTGCTTGTTCTTTCTTTAACATCCCAGCCGTTTACCACTGAGAGGTGCCACCAGCTTGGAGCCAGAGCCATAGTCCACTCCTCTCATACTCAGCCTGTTGGGCTCCTCCACTATCAGCCAATTCATAGCCCTCAGTTAGGTCAGTTATCCCCTGGCCAAAGGGAGAACCACAGATAGGACACAGAGCCCTCCTGTGCCAATCTCTCCCTATTGCCTGCTGTAGTAAGAGGCAGACCCTGCAGGGGACCCTGTGGGACCAATAGGTGGTGGAATGGGTAGAGGGATGAGGCATCTCAGACACTGGTGGTCTCTGAAATTAGTACCAAGACCCTAGGGGAGGGCCCCAGCCAAACTCTTTAGACCACCTGGATGTCACCTTGGAGTCTTGAGCAGACCCACTCCTAAATCTCCCTCCCCCTTTCCTCCTCATCTCTGTGGTCTAAGGTCACTAGTGTCTCTCCTCCCACTGTCCTCCTTTCACCGTCTCCAAACCCACTGTTCAGTGCTCAAAGGATCTTCCCATCTCTCTTTCCCATCCCTTTCTCCCTGATTTTCTTCCTCCCTCCATCTTTCTTGCTCCTTCCCTCTCTCCCTCTTAGTGACCCTATTATCCTGGGGGACAAAGTCCAGTCTCTCTGCTTGGGGCCCTTTGTATTCCTTTGTGTTCCTTCCCACCCTGGCTCCAGCAGCAGAGCCTCTCCCAGCTACAGCTGCTGCCAGACTTGCACCTGCTTGTGGCTGTGGCCTGAAACTCCCTCCCTGTCTCCTGTCCTCTCCTCTCCACCCTATAGGGCTCAGCTGAAATGCCTCCTCTTCAAGGGGGGGCGGTCTTCTTTGACACTGCTGAGGCATTCTGTGACCCCAGCCCCTCTCCACACCAAGCTGTCACTTGGCCTGGAGGTGTCTCCAAGAGTCCCTCTGCCATGAGCTCCATCAGAACCCTGTCTGAGGTAGAGCCCTGGCTATGGCCACCCTGTTTGGGAAGGGAAGTAAGAAATGCAGAAATGATTCACTAAGGAATGAGAAGATCACCGACTTAAGAACCCACTCAGGTGGGGCAGCCCCAGGAGATCAGTCACCCTATAGTAAAAGTCAGACTTGACTTGTGGGCAGTGGTGTGGTGTGGGCTGTGCAGGCTGAGTCCTGGCTGTGATGACACATGGAGAAGGATCAGGAAGGAGGTCTGTCCTGTTTGTGCCTCAGAGAACCACTGTAGTGTCTACAGGGTAGCTGAAGCTCCCCTGCGTGTGGGGTAGATGTGGCCTTACTTCATCAAAGGGTCCCTGAGATAAACTCCTCAAACCCTCTGTCCTTCCACATGGCTCACCCCTAACATTGGCTGATCAGATTTGGGTCAGCTACTGGCTGGGACAGGGCTTCAGGAATGAGGAGAAAGAATGCACCTTCAGCTGCCCCTTGCTCCTCCCACTCCTGTTCCCAGAAACCCTCTGACAAAGCCCCCCAGTCTTCCCCGCAGTGATCTTTCTGTCTGGGTATAGGCATGTTTTTGGTCCCATTGGGCACAGGATGGATGTGAGGTGACTGGCAGCCACAAGGGCTAGTAGCACCAGTACCACCATAGTGATCCTCTAAGATAGGTAGCCTCAAGCCTCTTGGCCCTCCATACTGCCACCCCAGGCCCTTCACAACTACCTTGGGTCCCCTGTCCATGCTTCTCACTGGCTTCTCCTGCAGTGGATAGATGGACCCCTCCCAGGTGCTGCCACCTGCCCTGCCTGGCACAGGTTCCTGTCTACACACAGAAGTTGCCGCTGCAGGAGACACAGAGGGACTGCCACCGATTGAGCCTGTTTCTAAAGCTCTGTGGTTAATTATTTTGTCTCAGGGAAATGAAAGGAGGGTAAACAAACAGCACACATTAATTAGTCTGATCCACACTTTCCCCATGAAAGAGGAGTGCTGCAGTTAAACATGAGAGGCTGGCAACTTCCCAGGGTCTTGGAGTCCTCAGAGGAGTGACTGGTAGGATGTGGCCTCTCAGGCTTGCTCAGTCTAGGCAGGGGCTCAGCTGCACCCTATTTAGCTTCTTTCTCTTGCCTCCACTGCCTCAGTGGGGGGCCAGGCATGTGGATGTGTCAGGAACAGACTTTGCCTTTGGACAAGGGATTCTTTCCTCCCCACCATGCCCAGTTCTCTCTTCTATGTCCTTGATCTGGCAGCTTTGCCATCTCAAAGTCCACCATGGGCACTCTGACACAGCCAGCAGACCCCTCCAACCTCTCAGACTAGGTGGCTCTTTCAGGGTTCCTTATGTTAAGGCCAACAGTCACCTCTGGGGTTGGTCTCCTTTGTAAATCCTAATGTATGGTTTCCAGGGTTACCAGAATCCCCTTCCCCTAACACCTTGGTCTCCAGAACTGAGCTGAAATCCTGGACCTTGGGAATCCTAGCAGGAATCCAACCCCCATTCACTCTGAGTACAGTGCTCCAAGACAGGGCTCCTGAGAGTCAGCCTCAGGAGCTGTCCTGGATGTACAGGCCAGCTTTTCTCTTAACCCAGGCTTCACTGCCCAGTTTTCAGTCTGGGCCTGGCAGTCAGGCTAGTCCCAGTGATATCCTGGCACTGATCATGATGTGAGGTCGTGGTGTCTACTTTGAGGTCTACCATGAGGACTAAAGGGGACTAGGCTGGTGGCCTGGCCAGCCCTGCTTCCTTCCCTCTCTTCCATGGAGGCACTCCATGTGTCTTGTCTTCTCCCCCCAAGTCTGTGGTCTCTACTGTGTGGGGGTTGTCCTGAGCCCACCTACAGAACCTCCAGGACCCTGAATGAACTAGACTGCCTTCGGGATCCTCAGAGATGCCACCCACACTGTTTGTGCCAGAGCCCAATTCTTCACTAACTTGTCCCTCTCTCCTGCAGCAAACACTGGGCTATGGATGGACAGAGGGGAAAGAGCTCTGTGGTTCACAGGTTGATCTAGGTAGGAGAGGAACTTGTCTTAAGGATGTTTGAGAGCCCAGACAACCCAAAGACCATGTGGAAGAGGAAGAGATGGACAAATCCTTGGAAGAACTCTAAGAATACAATCTTAGTGATTTCTGGTTGCCTGGGGTATTGACGACAAGCCACTGT